CAGAAAGAATCACTGCTATCATGAAATCAACCAATAAGAAATGCGGGTGGGGCTGTGGGGAAAGAGGAACACTGCTCCACTGTTGGTGGGAGTGTAGACTGGTGCAACCACTGTGAAAATCAGTATGGAGATACCTCAAAGAACTAGGACTGGAAGTCCCATTTGATCCAGCTCTTCCCCTGGTGGGTATCTTCTCCAAAGAATGAAAAGAATCATACCACAGTGATATATGTGCACCCATGTTCATAGCAGCATAGTTTGCAATAGCTAAAACTTGGAAACAGCCCAAATGCCCATCAACTGGAGACTGGATAAAAATTTAAAAGAAAAATAAAATGGAGTACTACTCAGCCATAAAAAATGAGAAATTAGAGACATTCATAGCTAAATGGATGCACACTGAGGCGATACTCTTAAGTAAAATAAATAGGACACACGTGTGTAAATACTGAATAGTTTCTCTAGTGTTAGAAACTGAAAGTGTAAGTAAGGACTAAAAGGTATAATAGATAATGTGAAATAGGAAGAAAAGGGGCAAAGGGGAAGGGGAAGTGTGAGTGGTAGGGGAAAGGAAAGAAGGGAATGGAATTAATATGAGAAAATGAAAAAAATGGAAATAAAGTCTTTGTAAATAGGGAGGGAAGGAGGGTTTGAAGGTAGGGCAGGGGAATGGGGAAAAAATAAGAACCAAGAGAGATTATGTAAGGGTGCAAATTTCCAATGATAAATGTCATAATATTGTATAGCTAAAATGTACTAATAAAACTAATTTTTAAAAGATATATTTAAGGTAGGAAGCTAGAACGTATTTTATTTACTAATTAGCTTGATACCAAACTTTTATGTATTCAGGAAAAAAACAGTATAGACCTCCATTTGTATTTTTGACTGTGCCCCACAAATAGAGGAAGTATGCACTTTTCTCACACCCCACTTTCTTCAAATAGTGTTATAGTAGGAAATTATTTGCTGTATAGATCTCCTTTTATTCCCACCTTCCCCATGTAAATTCATACTTCATCTTCTCACTCCACTGGTTAGGACTCTAGTAACTTAAGTTCCACACCAATCTGGAAGAAAGACACTAAAAGCGCGCCAAGCACTGAAGCTCCACAATTTCAAAGCCCCCTACTGGGACCTGCATTCGCGGAGACCCACCACTCGGCCCCGCGGCATCCTGGGAATTGTAGTCTTTGGATGGGCAGCGGCCGCCAGCAAGACTCCTCCCTCAAGCGTTCGACGCTGCCTTTTGCCCTCAGGACGCCGTGACGTCACGTTCTTCCCATCTCTTGCCTCCTCCCTCTTTCTTTCGCTGTGGAGAAAGCTCAGTCCTGGACTTCCGAAGACCTTTTACGACGTTGAGTCTCAGAGTTTGTCTCGGCCCCAGGTCCACTTTTCGGCAAAGTGACGTGGACGTCAACAGCAATGGCGGAAGGAGAGCAGGTTCCGCCGCTGCCAACGTTGAGCGGCGACGGCTGGTGAGTGAAAGCCCAGGACTGATTCTCACTGGCCCATTATTCTTTCATCTCATCATCTTGCCTCACCCTGGGACACCGGCTGGCGCCGGGATGGAACGGCAAGACGGGTTGTCGGAGAAGTCCCGGGCCCCCCCCCCCCCGCTTGCCGGGTCCTGATCCGAGGGCTGGGGCTCTACTTGGAGAGGGGTGGCGTCCAGGCATGGGCCTCAGTTTGGTCCCATTGCTTCGTCCAGCCGTCTCTAAAAAGTGCTGGAAGAGTGGCTTCAGCGATGGGGTTCTCCAGAGTCCTTGGCCAGAGGAGTTGGAGTAGGCTGGTTAAGGAGGAAGTTCCTTGGCTGTAAATGGGAGGCACTAGAGTATCAGTTGAAGAAAAAGACCTTTTAAAATTACCATCGCGACCTTTGCCCGAGGTTCAGGTGTTGAGAGATATACCGGGGGAGGACTCCTACCTCATAGTTGTTTTAAATCTTGTTTTTCTTTTGTTTCGTTTAGTCTTCCAACAGTTTCCACCATATAAGTTTTCTTTTTCCTTTCTATCCCATTTTTTCACAGCTTAATTTCATAATTCGATGCAGTGTAGGACTTTGTTCTTGCTGCTCCCAAGTCTTTGTATGTTTATTTGTTTATACCTGGGTTGAAAGGAAGATCTCCAATAATTTTTTAGTAGGCATTACTCACCCCAGTGTCGTGAACGTTTGAAACTGCTCTTACTACTGTTGCTCTTACTGCTGATATTCACAGCACACTGTTCCTTTTTCTTCTCCTCCTTTTAATAAAAGGAACCTTTAGAAGCTTGTGTAATTTTTACAGTTGATAAAAAAGTGTCTGGATTGCATGTATTACATTGTTTTGGATGGCTTTTACATTATTATGTGTATTGCTCACTGGCACTCTGTTTACTTAAAAACCAATATGCGACGTTGGTAGACTTTAATCTTTGAGAAAAAATGGAAATAATTGAAAGGAATAGCTAATATCGTAATTGAGAAATTGAACTGAATTAGCAAACATCAAACATTGTCTTAGTGCATATACTCTCCAAAGTGTGGAAGAAAACCTTATGCTGACTTAGATGTAATTTCTTTATATTCATTTTGCTTATATTGGAGTTAGGGAACTGGGACAGGTACATTCCTTAACAAGGGAAAACTTTTCAGAAAATGACCTAGCTGGTTACAAAATAAAGTTTGCCGTTTTGCAAGACTGCACTGTATTATAAATGGAGGTAGTGAGCTGACTGAGGGCCACTGGGGGGGGGGGGATACAGTGAATCCTTGACTTACAAACTCGATCGATTCCTGAGGGCTGGTTGTAACTCAAGTTGGTTGTAAGTCAATACAGCTGAGATCCGGATGTTTACCTGGGTATGCGCTATAGATAACAAGAGACAGATGAATCTTCCATTAACCTAATTAACACAAGTTGTTCGTATGTCAGGCGGATCGTAACTTGAGGGTCCACTGTATTAATAGTGTTAAAGCCTTTTAGGGAAGCTCTTAAGATTGTGAGCATGTTTCTGGTTCCAGGAAAACAACCTGGAGTGAATGATTGCTAGAGATAGCATTTATTCTTGCCTAGGGTTACTGTGTTTTGGTGTGGCTTCTTAGTTTTTAAAAAATTTTCATGAATGGATGAACCATGGGATGTCCTGTTGTGATTTCTGTTATCGCCCCATTCTCCTCTGATATTTTTCTTTCTCTTCTTTCTCCATTCTTTCTCATACGGTAACCCCCACCCCCACCCCCGTATGTCAGAATAGAGTCAGGAAAGATCTTGGTCTTGGGAATGAAAGGTTCATTAAAGCCTTTCTTCTTAGAATGATTGGTGAATATATTGTTATAGATATTTTAATTGTCATATTTTTATTTTAGTTTTGTCAGATAGGACATTTTGTAAAATGTATTACATGTCTTACCACCTAACCCAAACTCATCTTAATGACCAAGTGTCATCAGTTTACAAATGTAAAGTGTGTAAGAATAAAACTAGTTTCCTGTCCTCAGGAGACACATTTAAAAACATCAGTTTTTTTTTTTTTACTAGTTAATAGTGAGACCTTTAGGTCTCTTTCTAGGTAGATGTAGTAGATTGTTGCTATGTTAAATGGCCCCACATAGCCATTGAAATTGCTTTTAATCAATCTTTACTATTTTCTTTCTTGTCAGAGTATCTTCCAATTTAGTCCTAATCTGTGAAACTAGAAGGTGAACTGTTAAAGTTTGTGTATATATTCTTAGTAAGTCTCAGTACGGGCCTTGAAGATCTTGAAAGTACTTGGAGTCCCTGATGTAACTTTTACTTATTTACTAGTTTTTAGTTATGTTCTAAACCAGTGCTTCTCCACGTTTGGAAAAGCATTGGAATTACTTGGGGAGCTTATGGAAATGCAAGTTCTGATTCAGTAGATTTGGGATGGGACTTGAGATTCTGCATTATCTCCTAGATACCAATTTGTGCTGGATGATGTAAATCTCAGAGTAAGTAGGTCTTAGTAGTATTTGTTATATTGTATCATACAATTTTTGTATGATAATTTAATCATTGCTCTTTAGATAGTGCACTTCTCAAGTGCAGTGGCTGACAGCAGGAGACTCAATAAATGTTGAATGAATATATGCAAGAATGAATGCAAAGGGTTTTTGTGTGTGTGTGTGTGTGTGTGTGTGTGTGTGTGTGTGTGGTACTGGGGATCAAACCTAGAGGTGCTTTACTACTGAGCTACACCTCACCCCTACTTTTCTTTTAAATTTTGTAACAGGGTCTTGTGATGTTACCCAGGCAGAACACAAACTTGTGACCCTCCTTGCTCAGTCTTCCTCAGTGCTAGGATTACAGGCATGTGCCACTGTCCAGCTAAATGCAGGCTTTTGTTTAATCATCTGCAGTAGCATACGAAGCTTGTCATTTCATATAAATTTCCTGACACCAGTGTTTTTGTGAGCTGATTGTTAGCTAGTATAATGCTTATTGCTTACAGAAAGCCACAATGGTCAGAAACTGCCTAAACGCTTTAGCTTTCTGGAACTTCAGTAAGCACAAAGAGCATGGTGAAATCGTTTTTAAAATGTTTGTAGTTAGTTTGGAATGATTTAAATTAAAAAATTTTATGTTACGAAAATCTGAATTTGTAAAAGCAAACATTAGTGAATTATTACAAATCAGAGATTTGCAATCCTCTTCTTGCTATTGATGAAACTATCCTTGGATTATTTTCTGAGCTTTTCTTCTTGAAATATTTCCTAAAGATCTAAATTCATAATTAAAAAATTTATAGTATAGGGTTTAATGATATATGTGTTTATGTTATGAACTTCTTTAAAATTTTTACTCAGTATTCACTTTTTTTTTTTTTTTTTTGGTACCGGGGATTGAACTCGGGTCCTTTTGCATAGCAGGCAGCGAAACCACTGAGCTAAATCCCTGGCCCAGTATTCACTTTTAATTTACGTTTTTAAATTATTCTTAAATTTTTTTGAACTTTTCTTAAAATTGGAAAAGGATCAGTCCTGTAAAAAAGCTCTTGTTGATTTGATATGTGAATGGGAATTGTTTTGAGAATAATAGGTTCTTTTTCAAAGTTTTGTGCACTCTGTAAATGGTACTCTAAATGCTTCCCACTTCATAAGCATTAAAATATGAGGAAAGGTTTAAAATACTTTACCTACTAGGTGATTGTTTTAGTCATGATATAGTCAATAAGGAAATATATTTAATATGAAAGCAAAAGGAACTTTCTAAGAACATTGAGAGCTTGTGAGATTGGGAGGGCTAGATATTACCTTAGGAAAAATGAGGTGAAAACTGAGAATTGTGGTGCATAGCTGTACTGCCAGCTACTCTGGAGGCTGAGGTGGGAAGATCACTTGAGCCCAGAAATTTAAGGACAGCCTGGACAACATAGAAAGGCGGGGTATTGACAACTGATTTTTTATTCCACAACTAGAGTGGAGGCAAGGATAAGAACTGAAGATGACTTATTTTGTTTATACTCTTTACATAGTCTTTATTGTAATTATAATTAACATTCTATAGTTTAAAAAAGTAATTCTGAAATAATTCACTTCGTAAATTTTGTTTCCTATAGATATCTTAATATTCACAGTTTAGAGTTATTAATTTGTTCATGTATGTTAAAGAAATTATTTTAATTAATTTCTTTTCATGTAAATATATTCACTGCAGTGGGAAGGATGACAGATTTTCTATATAAATTTTTTAAGGCAATTAGGTAATTCTGGAGCATCCAGTTAAATGTATTGTGATATACAACCAATTTATGAGTAGTATTTCTGAACAGAATTGATAAAATATGTTTGACAAAGCACTTCTCCATTATGCTAAAATATGAGTTTTACTTGGTATACACTAAAGACAGTGCCCTCTTTTATGTATCAAAAAATTTTTACCAGCTGTTCTTCAGACAAAAGTCTACTAAATAGAATATATAAAGAACTTTAAAAAATCAGACCTCTCAAATTTAAAGACTCACTCCAGAAATGGGCATCTGAAATGAACAGACACTTCTCAGACAAAGAAGTAGAAACAGCAAACAAACATATGAACAAATGTTCAACATCATTGGTCATCTAGAGATGCAAATGAAAAGAATGCTGAGATTCCCCCTCACTCCAGAAAGAATGGCTGCTATCAAGAAATCAACCAATAACAAATGCTAGCTGGGTTGTGGGGAAAAAGGAACCCTTCTCCACTGTTGGTGGGAGTGTAGACTGGCACAACCATTGTGGAAATCAGTATGGAGATACCTCAGAAAACTAGGATTAGGGCTGGGGATTTAGCTCAGTGGTTCTGCCACCTGCCTCTCAAGCACAAAGTCCTGAGTTCAATCCCTGATACCAAAGAAAAAAGCAAAACTAAGATTAGAGGTCCCATTTGACCCAGCTATTCCCCTGCTAGGTATCTTCCCAAAAGAATTATACTACAGTGATATATGGGCACCCATGTTTATAGCAGCACAGTTTGTAATAGCTAAAACTTGGAAA